GGGGTGGAGTTTGGTGAGGGGCGGCTGCTGCTCAGGGACTGGCTGGGCAGTGGTGGTTGGTGGTGAGCAAGTGTTTCAATTTGCATCACCTTTTTTTTTCCCCTTGGGTTTTAATTTCCTCTCTCTTTGTTCTTTTTTTTTTCCTTATTTTTCTTTAATTTATTTTTAATTATTGAATTGTCTTTATCTCAACCCACATGTTTCTTTCTCACTTTTACCCTATAATTCTGTCCCCCATCCTGCTGTAGGGGGAGAGATTGAGCGGCTGTGTGGTGCTTAGTTGCCAGCTGGGGTTAAACCACAAGTCTTACGCGTAAATCTAAAGTAAACCGCACCAGAGCGCTGACACTAAGTGGGCTTTTCAAAGCAAAACAGACCCAAACCAAACCCCGCACCTAACAGACATGCTACCCTCTCTGAAATTAAGGCGTCGCGCTGCCTTATCACTGCAGTTCCGTAGCATTCTCAGTAGCAAGGTCCTTACAGAAGCTCTGCTATTTCCCTTCTGGAGCACATGCCCCCTGAGGTAACGTGACACATTAGACCTGAACCACTGTCATGGCCTGGTACTGCCAAGAGGAGAGACCCATTGCTCCCAACGCCCATGCCACCATTCCTGTGTGATCCAGCCCATCTCCTCACCATGGCTTTGGTGCAAGCTGAGCTCTTCCTTCAGCAGATCCCACTCACTGTCTCAGAAAACTACTTACTCGTTTTATTTGCTAGTTTCTGTAGTAATTACTGAGCCGAATCAGCTCATGAAAGGGTCTGATAATCATCACAGCTACAAGGTGGGGGAGAAAAGCAGCACCTGCCCTTCTGTGGCTGAGTGCTGGAACGGCTCAGCCACCCCATTTTAATCCATTCAAAGAGCAACTTTTCTGAATGCCAGCTTAGCTACAACTTCCAGCCTTGTTGGGCTATGTCCTGCTAAACCAAAAAAACAAACCCAAGAAATTTAAGACATCCAAACTGATTTGATAGAGAAGCTCAGCCTTCAGAACAGCTGCGGGATATTAAAGCCAGACCAAGTGATAAAGGAGTAATTTTTTGTCTTGCTATTTTTTTTAAAACCTCATAAACAGCTGGGGACATTAATCAGTTAATCACAGTACTGAGTAATTGCTTTCATCAAAATACATAGGAGAAAACAACCCGGTATTTCTTGCAAACACTTTGCCAAGCCAAACAACTTCAGTAGCAAAGTTGGGTGGGTGAAATGGACACTCTGTATTTGATGAGTTTGACTGAAAGCTGATGAACTCTGTTTCCTTGTTCTTACCTCTCCCTGACGCCTTGTTTTGGGAGACGGACTGAAGAAATTGTGCAAGACAGAAATATCGTTGCTGAAGAGAGTGTTTTCTTTCTCCAGGATATATTGCTTCAGCAGTGGAGATACCTCATCACCAAACAGAGCCTGGTTATCCTGCCAGATCTGGCGCTTCACCTCCACTGCACATGCTTTATACAAATCCTTATCAGCCATTACTAACTTCAGCTTCTTCTCAGGAACCTGATCAAACAGAAGTGCAGGGCAGCTTATCTGCCTGACTGTCCAAGCAGTAAGTAACTGACTACAGAAGACATCCAAATCATAATCTTAGGCAATCTGGTAATTTACACAACAATGCAACTAAACAAAAGCAAGTATCACAGACTCATCTCTTCCCTACTCCCCTAACAGTAAGTCAGTCCCAAGACACTTCTTCAACGACCAAAGTAGGCACCAAGCCTTTCCTTATTTCTTTCAAAGAGAATAAGACTTCCTTTCAACCTACGATGCTAAGATTTGGGGTGATGTTTCAAAGCTCAGTAACATACGACAGCTCTAGTAGCAGTTTTGAAGCCATTACATTAAGCACAAGATGACATAAGTCTAGTCCTCGAGACTTTTGTTTCACAGACCTGAACCTCACTCCATCTATTTCCAGCTGCATTCTTCAAATCTTTTTTTCCACTTACCATAGATTTTGAAATCAGCTGTGGAAAAATTCACCTATAGGCAAACTGGACTAGTCCCTTTATTGAATAAGACAGGGAAACAGTCTCATCTGATTACAAAAATACAAAATGCTTTTTGCATTAGTCTACCAAGTCGTTACCAGACACGAGACTGTAGTAAATCTTCAATCAGTTCCTAACACTTAATGACAGACTCGCAGAAGATCTGCAGAAGGAGCATGCAGCCCTGCCAACAGCTGGCTAAGATTAAGGCAGCAGGCTAAGCGGCGAAGCGGTTTTACCTTGGGCAAGTGCTTCATGACACACATTACCACAGGCTGTATGGAAGGCATCTTGACCAGAGAAAAGCTCTTCTCTAGGAGATCTTCCAGCTTCTTGTATCTGAAAACATGTGAGAGGAAGAGATTAAGTACCATGTTACAGGGCAGGACCAAAGTGGCTCATCTCAAAGCCGCTGGAGCGTGATCCCCCAGGAACCCAACCCCTTTGCAGCGTCACTTGTCCCCTGTAACTAATTTTCACACAATCAGCCCCTGTCCGAGTAACAGGCAGAGCTGCCGACAAACCTCTCCTCAACCTTCCCTTCCAAAGCGATGGCCGAGACCCTCTCCAGCAGCTTCTCCCGCAGCTCGTCGAACACGGACTGGTGGAACTCCAGCCGGGGGGTGCCGTGCAGGTCCAGGAAGGGCAGGGCCGACTGCAGCGAGGGCAGGAGCACTCCATTCTCGGTCTGCCAACACAAACACCCCAGAGGGG